AGAACAAAGCTTTAACCAAGACCGATTCTCTGTTTCAAAGTTACTTGCATTTCAATCGATAAACCAAATAATTGTACAGTCTTTGTGAAGCGGAATGATACTTAGTCGCTGAGCTACATTAGCCGTTAAAATTGTTGGGTTTACTGTTACCCTAAGAAGCGGGTGCTTTGCGTTAAATGTTGGAGACAACCTGTGGCGAGTTAAATTCAGTTTGAGTTAAACTTGCGGACGAAGCAACCATTGCAAGTTGAACTTGTTGATACTCGTCCCACTTGTTGTTGATATTTACTTTTATCAGTTTGCGTGGAATGAAATCGACGTACAACATGAAAAATCAACAACTCCCTCCATTTTCGATATTTAGAATGCAAACTAAAAGACTTCGTCTAAAAAACGAAAGCTTGCTGCACATTTAGTTCCATTTAATTACTTGCGTCTACCGTAAATAATTATATATTATTAATTAACAATTTGAGCATGTGGGTGTCGCAGAAATATTTGGGCCAATGTGTGACCTGCTTCAGTAAAAACAGCCTAAATCTGAAGCTCGTACATTTCGTGCAAGTTTACGAGAGTTTCACGGTGGTCTTTCATCTTCTTATTCACGCGAAATTTCTTCGGATAAACAAATCTATTCCGATCGAGTTGCATTGAAGGAACGTGTTTCCTGCTTCTCCACTTGTTCAAAACACTCGTTGTTTTATTCGAGATAGAGGCAACGAGGGGTTGCTCGTTTACTTAAGCTGTACGTATCCCGGAGGGTGAGCTCGAGTCTCATTTTCTCGGATATTTTTGAGACTGTGGGAATTTCGCCTCTAAAACATTCGAGCAACCAATGACGTTCAGCCGCTGGGAGAATCGAGGAGAAATGTTCGATCTCTGGCGGGATTATCGACGCCGGTTGAATTTGCTGGAAAATTAATCGCGGAGACCTCGAACAAATTTTTAACGAATTCCTATGTCCGATTTCCTGCGTGCCGTTAAGTGGAGTGCCCGGTCGACCTTTGGATATACGAGCAGATAGTCGAAAAGGATCGGTTCTGCGCGTAAAAATCCAAATTAACGGGAACAAAGGTCTCGCTGGAGCGTGATTGATTCGATCGTTCGGCCGTCACCAAGCGTTTAAGCCGCAAATCTGTCCCGGAGTTTGAGGTTGCGCTTTTTTTTATTTCTTTTTTAAGCCGGCAAATATATGGAGGTTTTACAACGTCACTCGTTCCTGGCATACAATCCATTGAATTTTTTACGCTCCTGTAATCACACATAGCAATCTGTTTAATTTGATAACAATCGCGGACGATTGTGGCCGCCTGTGACGCGTCGTTAACGCTGCAACGTTGTTCTGATTTTAATAAGTAACCGCTACAATCGACATTCATGCATACACCGTTCATGTATGCACCAACAATCAATGTAATTTATTTATCCAATCAAATTTTTGCGGTTGAACCCAATTATCAAACCTATCCTCGTCTGGTTCATTAAAAAACGTTATACGAAACATAACATTAGCCTAATGCTAGTTTTAATCTTACTATAATTTAGTCCTAACTCTGGCCTCTGTAGTAAGCGCACAGTAATCGTCTTATTAACTCTTGAATCACGACGCTTTACCTTCTGAAATTGTACTTGAAGAGACTTTTCCTCTTTAATTTAACACGTACGAGTACATGACAATTTTCACTTTAAGCTGCTAATGTAATTATAACGGTGTTAAGAATTTTTTTCCTCCGCTTTTTGATAAAACCTACACCACGTGAGCTAACGATGACTAATGACACAGTTTTAATTAAACGAGAAAAGACACCGTTCGATGTAACTTTGAAACTAAATAGAAAACTGGAACTGAGGTATATTATCACGGGAGGTGTTAATTACTTTACTAAATTAAATTCGTGGCGCAGTTTACTGATAATCCTTATAATGCTCTACGTAGTAACACTGTTTTAATTTGTATTTCGTTAACATAAAATAGAGTATATTATATCATACTGCAGTAGAGGAATGTCTTAAAATTAGTCATACATTGTGTGAAAAGATTTTATTGTTGATATCAAGTTCAGTTGTCAGTGAACTTGATACATGTTCAGGTGTTAAATAGTTCATGTGAAGGCAATATAACGAGAGTCTATCGAACTAATATTTTAGCATAGAAGAAAATATGCAAGATAAAGTTAATTGATAATGAAACATATCCGTTCGAAGAATATTAGTAGTATAGTACCTATTTCAGTTAGACTTAATTATCAATTTAATGCTTCCACCGTTCTCGTACCACCGCAAAAAATGGTAGTCGTGTTTCACCTCAATCCGGCTAAATCTGATCCCTAGAACCTTCCGTGAATATCGCATGTAGGTCGGTCGAAAATTAACCGCAAGGGAATGCATTTCAGGTAGATACAACAGGTGCAGTCTGGGATCTTGATTTGTTGCAGATGTAGTTAATTGAAAATGCTATGAAATTTCTATCGCTAATACAAATCTTCTTACCAATTTTTCGAGAGATCTTAGCCATTGCTTAAAATATACATGGATGATAGATGTACGAGAGACCGTTGATACACCTGCGCTTCTAAACGCGAAGCGTGAACATCGCGCAGAATCATTTGCATGAAAGTTTAATTCAAACTTGCACTTGGTGCATGAGTGGAATTGATATTGGTGGAAACACGTAGATATGGATTAAACCCGTAGTCTCAGCGGAATCATCGACGATACAACTTCGCGTTGCACTGCTTTATTATCGAATGAGAAATTGACCCCATTGTCGATACTTCGGTATCTATCGCCCTTTCTTGCTTGACATTTTCTATGAACTTATAAATCGATAAACTACAAGTTCTAGAATTATGTAGCAACTTGTATTTTCAATTTAGAGATTCGTAGAATTAGTTAAATAGAGCGTTCATTCTTTAGGTGTCTATAATATCAATAACGTTGAATTTCGAAGGTTGAAGGTTTGAATAGTGACAAAAGGATCATTGTACTTATCGATCGCCGTTAAGTAATAGCACACTTCATCGACGTTTGAAACTAACATTTCGCGACAACATTTCTTATCTAATAAAGGGTTTCGTAATAAGCTTTCTCTCTTACGTAGAACCACCTCTTACATCCAGCCCGACGGTATCCGCAAATATTGTTCTACAAGCTTCTAAGAGGTCTAACATTTTCAGGCTGTTCTCGAAGACGTTTCCTTCTGTCTCCAAATAAGCCCGCACAATCGATTCCATCAGACGTTATTTCATCCACACGCGTCTGTTCGCAAACGAGTTTATCAGGAAAGCCAATTCTCGCGATCGTGAGGACAATCCCATCCAATCAGGGTCCGACAAAATAACCGAATGTTTCTTGGGAGAAATCACCGTCTCGATTTCGAGCCACCCCGCGAGTGGCTTAATTCAACAACGCGATCCGTTCGCAAATAATTAAGACAAAATGCCGTTAGCTATGCTCGTGGACGCCTGCTGCTGAAGAAATACGACGCGGCCTGTTCGTTCTGGCCGTAAGTCGCAGCAGCTGCGGATAAAAGAGAATTGCTTTAATTACGGCACGCCATTTGCAAACAGCCGCACGTGCACTTTGATAGCCATGCTTCGCAGCTCGTTTCTGAGAGTACGCCACGCCGGAGGCACGGAAAAGAGAGCTTTTCTAGAATTTATGTACGCGTGTTATGTGCCTTTACCCGCGGTACATGCCCATTACTAGTCCTCGCCGTTGCCTCCGTGGCCGACGTTAATCTTATGTATGCATACATACTAGCTGATTCACTATATCGGATAATACTTAACTGCTGCTTCTCTTTTTTATATTTCTGCACCGGAATAAGCAATATTATATTTCTTCCAGCTCTCTGCACGTTGTACTCTCTTTAATCAACTCCTTTGCACTTTTCCACTGGACACTGTAAATAAGCAATATTCTACACTTTTCGAGTTATGCGCATAATGTCCATTACGATTATTTTTCTTTGGAACTAAACATACGATGCAACTTGTTAGTGCAACTCAGTGTACAGGGTCGAGAAATGTCAGTGGTAGACTTGCTCACTTCGAAACTGTATTATTAATCTTCAGTGCTTGTGCTCGACCAGTTCCTTCAATTACAAAAAAATTGAGTTCGCAATTCATCTGTGTCATTTATAAATTCAATGTCATTATCTTCAGTGCAAATGTCTGAAGTGTCAGAATGAAGTTATATACTTCATAAAAATAAAAGTCAGAAGTGCCTAGAACTGCATCGAAGTTCTGTATTCATAAATAACTACGCTAAGTCCGGCTACCCTGTCATTCTTAATGTCACTCTGCCTTAAGAATACAAGTTTCCCGTAGTGAAGTACAAAACATATTCCCGTGGTAAAATAAAAGTCAGGAGCAGCTGTAATCTTTATCTACGATCAAATTCGAATCTTGACAGCAATATACATTACGTGTCACACAATGCACATTGTTTCCAATGAGACATAACTCCAACGAAGGAATATTAAATGTGTCTAGCTCGTCTGACGTTTCTGTGATAAATACAAGAGAGTCACTGTTTGTAATTTTACTTCAGTCCTAAATTATTCAGCAAGAATAATAAATTATTCAGCAGGATTAATTTAGACAAAGGTCGATTTTTTCGTAATCGATCGAATGGACGCACGAGCGAGCCATTAGAATTCGGATGGGTACATTAGGAGAATTTAGCGCGGCCAAAACGTGCCGTACTAACGAGCGTTTGTTTATTATATGCACGTGTTGCATGGCATCGCATTAAGCCCGTTAATACGAGCGAGACAGATCTGACGATTTAACGATGCGGATGCATGCATAAATTCTCGTAACTTTGACGCGTGCGAGTTTTATTTGTAACTCGATGAAGCGTAATAAGGCAGTTGGCTACATTAGTGGTCCATTTGCATCGCTTTGCGCGCGATCTCTTCAATTATACATCGTGCTGGAACGACGTTACAATCACTCGAAAGACCGATGTTTAGAACTGTGCAATTTGGGTTTCAGGAGGGTTCAGGACAATGGGTCAGCCTCGATTCGGAGCTCGAGATGAGAGGTGCCGAGATCATCGGCACGAAAAAGCCAACCGGCCACTCTCTTCTCATAGACTGCCGTTTGGAGCTTCCTTTCGGTAAGTCGGCTGACATCTTCTCTATTTTTCGATGTAGAACACGGTGGTGAAGCATGTCGGTTGAATGTCAGCGTACGTGTCCGGACGTATATGTACCCGTATCGCGAACGGTAAATGAATAGAAAAGCGAAGGAAAAATGTGCTCACCTTCCGCTGAAAAGATATTTCGTTTTGCGGAGATCGAAAACGTGGCGCAGAATGGTTCTACCGGATTCATTTTGTTGTTTCAAGCATTTCGATCGACTCGAAACAATTAGACCGTTGTAAACGTAGAGAACGTTCAGGTTTTGCAATTCCAAGAGGGAAAATAATGGACGTTAACCGTGTTTTCATTGTCCGAACCATTTTCTTTTACGAAGAATTTTATTTTCGATTTTTGTCCGAGTTTGCTCGATTTAATTCGATAGTTGTTTCGCAACCTCACGCTGCAATTGTCTCGTTGATCGCGATTTGTTTGCATCGAAAAGTTGTTTACGCGAATCTTAATTAACGCTCGGTACTAGCGAATTTCGATAACGTCCCGAATAAATGAAACGCGTCGATCAAGCTGCGCCACGTTTTCGACGCACCATTACTAAACTCGAACGGTTTTAATCTTCGGAAACATGCTTTTATCGAGACTTTTTCTATTCATTTATCTACCTTGCCCTCCCCTTTCCGCCTCACGAATAAAGACCTTACGAATCGTCATGATGGTGCAAGAAATATGCATCATGCGATTAGTTAAGAACGGTGACATAGAAGAAAAGTAGACTGCTCTTAACTGTGCGAGATGTCCTCTCGAGCCTACAGCGATTGCCAAATGTATCGAGATACCATTAATCTTCGTCCGAGAACCCATGAAATTATATCCATAGAATCGATCAATCTTCAATGTCGGACGGTGTAATCGAAACTGAATGCTGCGTCGAGTAGCCACGGGAAAGAGGTAGAAACATTAACCTTTTGATATGGCGGGAAAGTTTCAAAGTATAATAGAAATCGGTAACGATAACTTTCTTTGGCTTAGCACATCGTGTAATAAATATTATATATTATTTTCTTCATTTGTCTTTATAGTTCTGTTTGTTAGGTTAGGTTTCAAAGTACGTTGTATGATAGAAAATCTGTAATGATGACTTTCTTTGGCTGATCATGTAATAAATACGATATATAATTTTATTCATTTGTCTTTATAGTTCTGTTTGTTAGGTTAGGTTTCAAAGTATGTTTCATAATAGAAAATCTGTAACGATAATTTTCTTTGGCTGACAGCATATCGTGTAATAAATACGATATATAATTTTATTCATTTGTCTTTATAATTCTGTTTGTTAGGTTAGGTTTCAAAGTACGTTGTATGATAGAAAATCTGTAATGATGACTTTGGCTTAGCACATCATGTAATAAATATAACATATGATAATTTCATTCATTTGTTTTTATAGTTCTGTTGGTTAGGTTAGGTTTCAAAGTATGTTTCATAATAGAAAATCTGTAATGATGACTTTAACTTAGCACATCATGTAATAAATATGACATATGATAATTTAATTCATTTGTATTTATAATTCTGTTTTTTAGGTTAGGTTTCAAAGTATGTTTCATAATAGAAAATCTGTAACAATAATTTTCTGTGCCTGACAGCACATCATGTATTAAATACGATATATAATTTTATTCATTTTTCTTTGTAATTCTGCGGATAAAGTTCCTCCGATTCATGTAACACTTCTATAAGTCCTGCATACAAGTTTCAGTATTTGACACTAGTCAAATATTGGAAATCGAATCGCGCAGAATTCAATGGAGTAATAGAATCAAGTCGATCAGTTCAGTTGACTCGAAATCCTTCGTTACTTTAGATAAACATTAGAACAAGAAGCGAGTAATCAACTAATAGTGAAATGGTGTGATCACTGGCGATTAAGAGTTTCTTTTTATAGGACATTTTCATAAATCATAGTAAGATCGCCTTTCAAGTTGTTGAAATCTGAGGAACACGTAAGAAAAAAGTCAGTAGCTGAATCGTAACGTGTCGTTAACCCTATTTCAAGAGAGGCGAAGATCGATAGTAATGGATCGTTGATGTGCCGGTGACCGGGCAATGCATGAAAGCACGCTACTTCCGGGAGGGAAAATCGAACGAAACCTTCGCGATAAAAAGTTCGATGAAAGCTCGGGATCCGTTTGCTATGTTCTTATGCAAAAACCGTAAAAACGTTGTACTTGTTGCTAAACGTGGAACGCAAATACGAGGAAAATCGATACGGGAATCGAAGAGCAAACTGCTATCGTTATAACGAATGCTTACTTCGGATCCTTGTCCAATATTATGTAAACTCGATTCGAACATTCAATTAGATCAACATAAAATTGAACGATTCCTGATTGCGTGTTCCTTAACGAGACTTTACGTGAGTGGAATTCAGCGTTCTCTATAAAACACGATCACTTAAAGTTTTAAGCAAGGAGCTACAACGTTCGGGAATTGGGTTACAAAGAAAAGAACACCGACTGAACACCTGCTACCTGAGCAATTTCGAGAATTAATTACCAACTCCTGCAGAGTAATGACCTTAAGTTAATTACGTTACTGGACACGTATCGTCCTTTAAGGGGGGTCAAGTGGAAATTGGTATTGGTGCAATTGGTAATTAATATTGTATTCGTTAGAGATACTTCAAATTGTTACAGATTCTCCAAATTTTCAATTTTCCCGATTCCCAATTTCTACAATTCTAAATTTTCCCGATTCCTAGTTTCCCCAATTTCTAATTTCCCCAATTCCAAATTTCTCCGATTTCAAATTCCCCCAATTCCAAATATCTCCGATTCCAAATCCCCCCAATTCCAAATTCCCCCGATTCCCAATTTTCCCGATTCCCAATTTCTCTAATTTCCAAATTCCCCGATTCCAAATTCCCCCAATTCCAAATTCTCCCAATTCCAAATTCCCCACCCCCAATTCCAAATTCCCCCAATTCCAAATTCCCCCAATTCCAAATTCCCCCAATTCCAAATTCCCCCAATTCCAAATTCCCCCAATTCCAAATTCCCCCAATTCCAAATTCCCCCAATTCCAAATTCCCCCAATTCCAAATTCCCCCAATTCCAAATTCCCCCAATTCCAAATTCCCCCAATTCCAAATTCCCCCAATTCCAAATTCCCCCAATTCCAAATTCCCCCAATTCCAAATTCCCCAAATTCCAAATTTCTCCGATTCCAAATTCCCCCAATTCCAAATTCCCCCAATTCCAAATTCCCCCGATTCCAAATTTCCCCGATCCCAATTTCCCCAATTTCCAATTTCCCCAATTCCAAATTCCCCCAATTCCAAATTCCCCCCAATTACATATAAATTCCCCCAATTCCAAATTCTCCCAATTCCAAATTCCCCCAATTCCAAATTCCCCCAATTCTAAATTCCCCCAGTTTCAAATTTCCCAAATTCTCAAATGTCTAAATCCCCCAATCCCCAAATTCTCAAATTCCCAAATCCCCAAATTCCCCAAATTCCCCAAAGTGCCCAAAACTTCTCAAATTCCCCAAATTCCCCAAATTCTCCAAATCTTCTCAAAAGCCCTCTGCTCACAGACACAATACCTTAACTGTTACTAAACCTCCCCCAAAAAAATCCTAATTACAACCTTCCTAAAAGAGTACTATTCTCCCACACTGCCTAATAAACCGTAAAATCGAAAAATACATATTTGTTCTCCCATGAAACTTTTCAACAATCCGTTGTCGTTGTCCCACAGTGGAACACCAAGTCGTTGTTGATTTTTCAAATTGTTTACTTTTTTCCGGAGTCGTGGTGCACCTCTAAAAATACCTTTTATCTGTTGCTCTAAATCAGCTCAGGTTACACCGAAGCCTATGGAGAACGGAATTTACATTTTTCCGCGGTTATTCGGCTCCTCCATAAATAATGCATGTCATTCGCATCGCAATGCGTACGATTGATCAACGAATCAGATTGACGCTGTTATGCAGTGGTTCATGGCAGTACGTACTGTTGTTTCTGGCACGAAACCGAGTCGTTGTTTTAATATCGATCGTTCCGGATTAAGAAAGCGGCGACGAGTCGCGACCGGAAACTTAGGAGGAATTTTCTAGGAGGAAAAGGGGCAAGAAACTGATGCAGTTTTTTGGTTTAATTACCGCGAAAACGGTAGGGGGATTTAGTTAGATATACTCCAGAGTTATGTACCCTTTCTTCTTAAGGAAGATATACTTAGGAAAATAGTTTTGCTTCAGTTTATATTTGCAATACATTATTTAAGTGAATTGGTTTGTAGTTGTAGTGCGGTCAAGGGGCAAATATAACAATTAATCGGTTTTAGAATACCAGTACGATAACCCGTGGTTTAGCATAAGGAATCGTAATTTCCTAACCCGATTAAACCCCGGTAAACCCTGTTACGATACGAAAACCCGTAATGACCAATAGCTCGTGTTCCGTGTGGGTTACAGAGGGCAGATTAACCGCTCAGGATCTTATCAAGGAAGCTATCCCATTCCGATTAAGGTTACAATCCCCGTATAATATGACTTGTTTCAATCTCCATTTCCATGCTACCAAGCGTAAATGTACAGATACGATAAATCGAGCGTCTCGTGGAAAGAAGTCGCGGATAGAGTTAGTTTGACCGAGTGACGGAAAAACGCGGTATACGAAAGGAAAACAAAGGTGGTAAAGTGGGCAGAACCGTTTTCCGTTCGCGTTAATTTTTCAGGGAGACAGCGTACAACAAAGAAGCTGGATTGTTGCAACGAAGTACGAGTAGGAACGGTGAGAAGTTGGGGCAAGAACTGAAAGTTTGCAGACCCTTTTATTTTCTTCGAGATAGCCGAGTTCGAGTTCCCGATTCTCAGCATCCGTGCCTTCTTTCCAAGACCGTACTTTCGAAATTCCAAGACATCGGAATAACCGTCGAAGCACGTAGAAGCTCGCATTATATGGCTGGCTCCTGCGAAGCCGACAGAGAGTAGAACGAGTTGGCGGCAACCGAAAGCC